TCTCTCGAGGGAGCTGGGTGAACGCTCTCTTTTCAGAGAGGCAGCCGGGTGCAGGAGAAACAACACACTTTGTACTCACGTCAAATTTGGCTCCAAATCCAGTTCTGCCTCTTACCAGCTGTGTGACAACAGGTCAACGAACTCCCTCTCTGATCCTTAGCCTCCTCGTATGTGGAGTAGGAATGTTAATAGTACTCGCCTCACAGTCTTCACGAGAATTAAAGGAAATAATGCCTTTGAAAACACCCAGTAGGGTGCCCAGCACATGGCAGGAGCGCATCAGACCTAAGTTTTTACTCTGCCATCAGTCAAATGAATTAAGTTGGCCTCCAGAGCTTAAGAAACTTGCCCGAGGTCACACAGCCAGTCAACAGGACAACCAGAAAGGGACCCAGGCCTGTGTGCTTTCTACTGCACAGTCCCGGGGACCTCCCGGTGCTGCTGGGTGGGGGCTGCAAAGACGCAGCAGAGCTGGACCCTGCCCGCGAGGAGCTCACAGTCTGAGGAGGAGAAAGGCAGATGCACACAGCACTGCGCACAGGGAGCCGGTGTCACCGCTGGAGCCGTGAGGGAGGTGGGAAAGGGCCACTGCCCTCAGGGAGGGGGTGCAGCAGGGGAGACTTCCCGGGCACGTGACAGTTACGTAATACCGCACCGGGCAGTTCACCTGGGATAGGGCCAGACACGCAGGGCCCATTCAGTGTTGGCTGGAAGGACGGACAGGCGGGAACAGACGATGGGGGATAAAGGCGGCTGGTTGGCCCCCTGGAGAGTGGTTGAGCGGAGAGATGGACAAGTAGGTGGTGGGGCAAAGGATGATGGAGCGTGGGTAGACAAGTGGGTGGGTGAGTAAACAAGCAGTGGCTAAGTGGGGGGACAGGTGGATGGGTGGACGAAGGGGTGGAGGGCGGGGTAGTGAGGCAGCTGCATTGCTGAGCGGGTGGGTGAAGCTGTACAGGTGGATGGGTAGGGCTGGCTGAGTAGACGGGTGGGCAGATGACCGTAGGAATGAAGGACGGACAGAAGGTTGGGGCTGGCTGGCTCGGATGAGCGGATGAAGAGGAAGGCCGGGGAACGAAGGAGTTGACTTCACCAAGTGGCTGTACGAGACAGAGAAAATCGAAAACTCACTCTTGCCCTGCGGTGCGGCCACTTACCAGGCTGCCCTGACCATCAGGGGCCGTGCTGCGCGCGCTGTCTCCGGGGGCCTGGCCTCCCAGCTTCTCTCGCAGGCTTCTGTTTTGCCCGGCGAGGTCCTCCACCTGGCCCTGCAGGCCGATCTCCGACAGCTGCAGCTCGTAGACGCGGCAGCGCAGCTCCTCCAGCTGCGCGCGGAGCCGGCGCTCAGTGGCGCGCTGGTCCCGCAGCCGGCGCGCCGCCTCCTCCCGCTCGCGCTCGCCGCGCTCGGCCCTCGCCTGCAGGGCGCGCAGCTCCGCGGCCTCCTGGGGGGCGCTCCGGGGGTCGGCCGGGCCCGGGGATCGGGGGCTGCGTGGGGCCGGGACGTCCAGCTCGGCCAGCAGGAGTCCCGCGGCGCGGCAGAGGCGCCGCACGTCCGCCTCCAGACGCTGCACCTGCGCCCGCAGGACGCGCTCCTGCTCGCGCACCAGGCCGAGCTGGCGCCGCTGGGTCCGCCGGGCGCGCTCCAGGGCCGCCGCCTGCCGCGCCAGCGCCTCGTCCTTGCGCCGCAGCCGCTCCCGCAGCCGCCGCAGCCGCCACCGCTGCCGCCGGGCCGCGCGCTCCTTCTCCAGGACCTACAGGTTGGCGGTGGATGAGGGCGTGAGGAGGCAAGCCCGGGGCCGCAGGGCCGCTCGCGCTGATCCTGCCTGTATCTTAGATTTCGATATTTTGTTCATCCTGGATTTTTTGCATTTAATTAGTGCATCAAAATATTATTTATCTTGACTATTGAGTTTTTTGGCCCTCCCTAAAATTTTACGCGGAAGCGGAGTGCCTCACTCAGTCACCCTGGGAGGAGCCCTGCACCCCGTGAGCTCCCTGAGTCCTTGGAAGGAAGCTGTGCAGAGGGCGGGATGGGCCACTCCAGTGGTTCCAGGATTGATACCTCCACTCCAGTCTGTAAGGAGCCGCCATGGGAGCCCGTGATGTCCCCGCTTCCCCCCAGCACCTGCGAGACCTCTCCGTTTCCCAAGGCCTAAAGAGTTAGTTAATGCCTGGCCCAGCAAGGGTCAGGTGACCGTGGCCTCTGGCTGGTGAGACAGGACCCCCAGTGTCATGGCAGCTGTTCATTACTGCAAATACACCACCGCCCCCCAGTGGAGCTAGGGACTGTTACTATCCCCCTGGGACGCTCAGAAGTGACTTGCATAATATTACACAGCTAACAGTCACTGCGGCGGGGATTTGAACGTCTGCGTAGCTGACCTTTTCTCCCTCCACTGCCGCCTGCCTGTCCGGAGTGCACATCTCCCTGTTCCGAAACCCTGCCCTCCCCCCACCCATGAGCTGTGAGCTGGACTGCGAGGACCCAGCCACTGCCAAAACGGGAGTCCTTGCCTCATTTTCAGAAGTGATTTAAGCCAACGGGTGGAACCGCCCGGGGGTATAAGCCCTCTTTCATGGCTGGTGCCCACCTGCTGCCACCCGGCCAGGAGAGCTCGCAGGAGACAAAACAAAGGAGCGAGCACAAACGTGGGAGGGAGCCTGGGGGCAGCTCCGGGCTTCAGGGGATGTTGGGGGGACATGGGGCGGGTAAAACCAGAGTCCCTGGGAGGCAAACCCGCTCCCGAGTGCCGGATGGTGTGAGGTTGGTGCTCCATTGGCCGAGAGTCTGCCTTTATCAGCTTTCAGAACGACCACAGGCCACTAGAGAAGGGAGGCGACTGTGTACACAAATGCTTGCTGGGACTATGGACGGCAACAGGGCGAGACTGACACCCGGCAGATCCCAGGTGCAAAGGGCAGAGAGGACTCGTCCACACACTCGACACAACGTACTCGGAAATGCAGGCACCTCAGAGAGAGACTGAGGGTCAGAGGTCCCCACTGGGTTGCCCCTCACCACTCTGAACTTCCACTCCTCATCCAGAAATGGGGTTTCGTGACAGGACTTTCCCAGGAGCATACAGACCACACGAGACCATAATAAAGAGACGTGTGTAGAAACGGGCGTGGTGTCCTACAGAGCCACGGTGGCAGTGCCTCTGGGCCCCGACAGCACTGCCCCTGCTGGTCACCCTCATGGCTGTGACATCTCGCGAATGCAGGGCAGGGGCTGGTTCACCTTGGAACTCCCATGTGTATACAGGGCATGGCTCAAAAATATTTATTACAGTGCCTTCCACGGAGAGATTACGTTCTCGATGGTGAAATCCCACACACCATCACTAGATCTCGTGTGAAAAACTCCCCCTGGGATGCTGAGGACGCTGTGCTAGGAACAAGGAGAATTACCCCCACTTTCTGCACCTGAAGTTCAACGTAAAGGGGAAAAATGCCACTTGCCTGTCTCCCTGGCGTCTCAAAGACTAATTCAATGTCACTGAGACCCCGATCTTCCCATGCTCCCCTTCTGTCTCAGCTCATGGCTGAGCCAGTGGTTTTCAAACTTTTGGGGCTGCTTCCACTGTAAGAAACACATTTTAAGAACGTGCCCCGTTATACACATGCGCACATGTGCAACCGACAAAGAAGTTTCAAGAAACAGCACTCCTGTTCGAACATCAGATGGCCCCTTCGTATCTCCCAGGTGATCCCACAGCCCACCGACAGGTGTCAGCCTTCAGTTTGCCAGGCTCTGGGCCTCACTGTAAGTAGCCTTCGGCGGAGAAGGATGCCTCTGGGGGTCTGTGGGACCCCCCCGCAGCTGCCCTCCCAGGCTTGTTGTTTCTGCCCCTGCGGCATCTCCTAAATGTGTCCTACCCCCCAGCCTTCACCATCTCCCCCCAGAATATTTCAATAAAAGCTAATAATTATGAAAACAGCTAGCGTTATTTAAATGCCTGCCGTGGTAAGCGTTTTACACATATTAACTCACGCAACAGTCCAAGGGGGTTAGTACATCATTCCGCTCTCACAGATGAGGAAACGGAGGCCCAGAGAGGTTAGGCCACCTGCCCTAGGTCACACAACTAGTGAGCGGCGGAGCTGGGATTTGCAGAGGCGTCTGCCTCCAGGGTCCGCCCCTTAACCGCCCACTCCTTCTCCAACAGTACTCTAACTTGTCCCCCGGCCCCCGCCATCTCTCTCTCTACCATGCAATTAGACTCATATCCCCCAAACCCTGACCCCTGCTTGAGTCCTCGAAAGCTGCTCTCATTGCCTTCAGCATTCCGTTCACGCCGTGGCCCTGGCGATCTCTGGAACTCTCCTGTCTCACCACTCCCTCTCCCTGCCCACACCCTCTGCTCTGGTCTCAGAGTGTTCTTCCACACCTCCATGTCTTTGCTCATGCTGTTCCCCATGCCTCGCGTGCCCTTCCCGCAGGGCCCAACTCACACGGCCCAGTCCTCTGTAGCTTCTCCCCCGCCACACACACTATGCCCGCACCTCCCTCACGGCACCCAGCGTCCAGCTTCCGAGTTGCTTGTCTCTCATCTGTGTCCCCACCTGCAAGCAGCTCCTGAGGGTAGAGACCCCGCACAGTCATCCTGTCTGCATCCCAGAGCTGGCTGCCCTGAGGTCAGGCACAAAGGCCGCAGAAAGGCCCCTTTCACCAGAGCCCCGGCAAGCACACAGCCCGAAGGGCACCCAGCACTCTCACACCCACGGGGGACCCCAGCGGGAGGAGCCTTGGGAGGGAACAGGCCAGGATGGGGATCCCACTTTACAGACGGGGCAGCTGGGGCCCAGAGAGGCTGGTGACCTTGCCCAGGGCCCCGGCCCCTGGCCGCACCCTTGGAATCAGGGTCCCTCCAACCCCTCCGGCCCGGGCTTTCCCAGGCTGCCCCCTGTCTGCTCAACTGCAGCGGCCGCGGCACCCAGACAGGTGGGGGCCCCTGCTGGGACGTGGAACCAGTGCTGAAAAGAGGGCGGGATGGTACCTGGTGGGCCAGCTCCCCCCGCAGTGCCTGCAGCTCCTCGTGGGCCCGCAGAGAGGCGTGGCGCTCCTGGAGCACGCGGGCACCCAGCTTGTCCACCCTCCGCAAGAGGCTCCTCTCCGACAGCTCCAGCTCCTGGATTCTGCGCAGTGAAGCGAGGCACTTAGGAGGCCTAAATGGCCCAAGGTTGTCCCAGACCTTTTCTTTTTGTCATTTGGTCAATTTACTACTCTGACAAAATTACATCTTGTGAAACATTCATACATGTCTTTTAAAAGATGATCTAAAATGCTTCAAAGACCTCTTTTGGACAGTAAGGCACCATGAATCAAGAATTGGAACAGTGTTCTCATCCCTGAACCGGTAATCCGGAAACCAGCAAAGACTGAGCCAGAACCAGACGTCTGCATTGTCTCAATTAATCCTTACATTACCAGCCCTTGGGGGGGTTCTGTTCTGCCTACTTCACGCACAAGGAAACTGAGGATCAGAGAGGCAGGGCCACTTGCCCAAGGTCACACAGCATTTTAGAGTCTAGACTGTCTGACTTCCAAACTCATGCTTTTTACCCTGTGCTCTGTTGCCTCCCATTTGAGCTACATCCCTGCAAATCTCTTCTAAAGAAATGATTGAAATGAAGAAAAAGGTGTCTACAAATAAAAACATTCATGTCTGTATTACTCACAGAAGTGAGAAGCTGGAAATGGCCTAACTGTGACGTTTGGGGGCGGCTCAGCCACAGGACGGCTTTTTTTATCATCCCGGGAAGTGTTGAGGTTGTGTCACATGCAAACTAATCCCCAGACTAGAGGTGAACCCCGACCCCGCAGCTCTAGAAAGCAGAAGTGTGAACGGAGGGGAGCCCAGGGGGAGAGGAGGAAGCACAAGGACCTGCTGGTCCCCTGTGCGCAGTATCCGAGGCCCGGGAAGGCGCTGATCTTACAGCAGACACCCGGAAACACGCGAAAAGTGCCCCCCAGCCCACGGGGCCAAGCTCTGCGCAGCCTCGCTCCCTCACCCAAGTCCACGCAGGTGACCTGCTCCCCAGGGACAGACTGCTTCCCTGGGTGATGGACCGCCTAGCTCTGCCTCCCTGCTCTGCCACTTACCAGTCATGGGGCTTAGACTGGGCTCATTCACCACTATGACCCTCAGTATCTTTATCTGTGAAACAGAGGTCATCGCACCTTGCTCAGAAGGTCGATGTGAAGATTAAATTAAACAGTGCCTTATTATTAACAATAAGGTAAGAGTGCCCTGCTCTACTCTAGTTCTGAGGCCCTGGACGAGGGTCTGGAAAGTGACAGAAGGGAGTGTGCCCTCTTGTGTGGATTACAGTCAAGTTTCTTCCAGACTGAACCAGAGGAGTAACCTCAGTTCATCAGTCAGAGAGTCAGGCTGAGTACCTCTGAGTGCTTATAACACGTGGCGATATCTGACAGGGACGAGAAAAGCCTTTCTTTGTAGTTTTTGACCAACCTGACACGTTAAACATGAGACAATATTTAATTCTGATGTTCTCCTTACACTTAAAGTAAGCAGAAAATGACTAACTTCACCATGGCAGGCTGAATAACAGCCCCAAACATATCCAACCGAGAATCCCAAGTGACCAATGTCACCCTACAATGCAAAAGAGACCAGAGCTGAGATGACGTTAAGATCTCGAGATGGGAGATCATCCCGGGTTATCTGGGTGGGCCCTGACTGCCAGCGCAAGGGAGGCAGAGGGACACTGACACAGAGGGCAAAGGCCGTCCCACCGCTGCAGCAATGGGCCCACAGCAAGGCGCTCGGTGGCTGGCTCTGCAGATGCAGGAAGGGGGAAGGGGCCTGGAGCTACGGAATGCAGCTCTAGAGGCCGGAGAAAGGACAGGAAAGAGATGGCCCTACAGCCTCTGGAGGGCGCAGGGCCCTGCCCGCACCAGATTTCAGCCCGGGGAGACTGATGCCAGACTCGTGCCTGCAGAGCTGTCGACACCGAACGTGTGCTATTTGAAGCCGCTGAGTTTGTGCTAAGCTGTTACAGCAGCCACAGGAAGTGCAGACACTCACAAACACGAAATAGACAATGAAGCACCATTGTTCATAAATTAACGACAAGTTAGAAATACTAACATGCAGGGCTGCAAAGAGTGCCCTGAAACTAGGAGACTCCATCAGGGAGCGGGATGAAATCTGGGAGGCGGCCTGGGTTCAAGTCCCAGTTCCGGCACGTGGCTGGAGGTGTGACCTTGGAGAAATCACAACATACACTTAGTGACCCTGGATGATGTCTTTCATCCTCCAGCCTCTGTTTCCTCATCTGGAAAGGGGGATCACATCACTCTGTGTGTCACAGGGTTCAGGGAGCAATGATGGGGGCATGTGTGGGAGGCCAGCACCGAGTGCACACCACCAGCGCATCGCTGCGTAAATGGTAACTCCCTTTCCTCCTCCACCCCGGCCACGGATCCAGCCTCCCCTCCCACCCTGCTCCTGCAGGATGGTGCATCTGGCCTCCAGAGAACAGAGGACACAGCCCACCATTCCCCGTGGGCAGGTCCAGGATGCCCTGCTGTCCCAGCTCTCAGCCCCCAGGACTCACATCACGGGCTGAATGTGTCTCCCCAAATTCCTGTGCTGAAGTCCTAACCCCAGTGCCTCAGAATGTGACCGTATATGGAGACAGGGTCTTCACAAAGGTGATTAAAGTAAAATGAGGTCACTGGGTGGGTCCTAATGCAATCTGACTGGTGTCCTTATAGACATACACAGAGGGACAACCATGTGAGGACACAGGGAGAAGACGGCCCCAAGGAGAGAGGCCTCAGAGGAAACCCACCTGCCCACACCTGGATCTCAAACGTCAGCCTCCAGGACTGGGAGAGAACACATCTTTGCTGTTTAAGCCCCCGGTCCACAGCACATTGTGGTGGCGGCCCGAGCAGACTGATACAACTTAGTATGTGGCTCTTCGGGGGTAAGAGCGGGTTGCAGAATGAGTAAATGAATGAATGAATGGAGGGATGGATGGATGAATGAATGGACAGACACAGAGAGTGATACATAGAGTAACAAAATAATTTTTCTGATATGTGAATTTCTTCATGTGAAAAGTTTTACAAAGAGAGAGAAAAACAAGTAAAGCACATGTAAATACACATTTAATGACTTGCCTTTATTAAAACAAAGGAGAATACAAGAAAATGGTGACATGTCAGACAAATCTAAAACTCTTGGCTGCTGGGATGTTGGGAAACCCATCAGAATTGACCCCAGCCATAACGGCACTGCATGTCCACACTGGGTTTCTCCTCTGCTATATGTGCATGGCCCCTCCTCATTCTGCTGGCCTAGGGATCAAAGAATGATCCAGAAAGAGCATGGGCTCTGGAGAAAGACCTGGATTCCCAGCCTCTGGACCATGTCGGTTCCATCAGGAAAACAGAGCCCACGCCCAGAACTCCAGAAGTGACAAACACACACAGAAAATCTGTTATAAAGAAGATGGGTGAGCTAAAAGGCTGCACAGAGATAACAGGCATCCCAGACATTAGCACCTGCCAGGGGCCCCCTCCTGCCCCTTGGGCTGGATGGATGCATGAGAAGGAGGTGGTGACACCGGGGCCCAGGAGCCAGGCCACCGGGCATGAGCAGGACCACAGAGGAAGCCGAAAGCATGACTGAGTTGCAGCCGCTGTCGGAGATCCACCCTGAGCAGAAGAGAGGGGAGAAATGCCCTGCTTCTCCCCTCCTCTCCCTTCAGTGCCTCCCAGTGGCTGGGCGCAGACGCCAGTGAGCGAGGGAGCAGGCAGCCTTGTGCAGCCCCAGCCCCAGTGATGGGGAGCAGAGGACAGAAAGACAGGACCGAGAGCCGGGGATGGCCGCGGGCAGGTTATGTGACATGGGTGAGCCTGCTTCCTCGGCCGTATAGACAATTCAACACACCATTCTAACATGACTGTGATGCCCCAGGGTTCTTTAAATACACAAAGAAAAGGTCTGAATGGCATATTTACCTGCTCCTCAGCCTGAACTCCGACATCATGTGCTTGTCCACGGCTGCCAACAGCTTCTGCTCTGAGCATTCCAGCTGCTTCCCGAGCGTCCCTGTGTCCATGTCTGGGCTGCTGGCTGCTCTGTCCGGAAGACACCCGTGCTCCTCACCACTGTCCTCTGCGTCCTGGAATATCCAGGACGTGTTGATCTTCACATCGACGTTCATCACATCAAACCCATCACTGCTGGGGGCTCTGACAACGTAGCTGAAACTTTTTTCAGTCCGTGCTTTAGCTGTCGGCTCCATCCCGTGCGTCGTTGACGGGTCAAGACTTTATAAAATTAAGTGAATTTGCAACACTGACTTTCTGGAGATTTCGAGGTGGCTGCAGCGCCTTCAGATGGGGCAGGAAAACATCCTTTGAGGAGGACAAGAAAAGGTGGATTATTTATGAGCGGGGACTTGGGTTTCATCGGCACGAATGTCATACGAGATGAATGAAAGCCTCTCACTTTACAGGCCGGCGTGCCAGAACTCACCCAAAGCAAGAAAAAGGCACAGGACAACCACTGGGGATTAAAAGCTTAATAATGTGGTCAAAGAGGTAAAACAGGATTTCCAGGCAGGACCTGGAACATTATAAATTCTCAGTATTTCACCCCGTAATGAATGAAGCTCTACACCTCCTCTCTGAGTACAGCAAACACCCGTCAAGGACCTAGAATCTGCTCGGGGAGGGGATGGGGAACCCGTGCTGCACTGGCCCTCTCACCTTACCTGGTCCAGATCTCCCGGCAACCCTACAAGGCGGGCGTGATGGCGACCATTTTACAGATGATGGAACAGGGGCTCTGGAAGGTGGAGGAGCTTGTCCAGGCCCACAGACGGGAAGTGGCAGAGTCAGGACTCAAAGCTGGGTCTGACTCCAAAACCTGAGCGGTAAGGAACGCACCAAGACCCGGGGTGGGATAAAACGTGTCCTGGGGGAGGAAGGCAGAGGCTGGAGAGATGGCGGAGGAAGGATGGGTGCCCTACAGCAGAGCTGGGCAGGTGAAGGCAATGGGAGTGGTCTGGGTTTGGCCGGCCTGGTGGACACACAGAATGGGGAATGAGGCCCGAGGACAGAAGGTGGCCTGGGGCCATATCCGTGTGGGCCTTAAGCTCCAGGACGAGGACTTTGGCACTCTCTGTGGGCAGTGGGGGTTCCCTGGAGGATGCAGAGCCAGGCAGGAGCCTGGTCAGATGTAACTTTGAGGATGGAGCACCCTGGGGCTTGCAGGCGGCGAGAACGGAGGCCGCCAGCATGGAGGAGGAGCCGGTGCAGCAGGCCTGGTGTGGCATGGTGCAAGGACAAATAGAAATTAAAACTCAGAGGCTTCATTCTCCCCATTAAAAATAATGGAAGAGATTTCCCCTCTCTTTTCTTAGAGCATTTACTTTAGAAAACTTGCAAGTTGTTTCTTCATCTCTTTGAAATATATGTAAATCCTTTTAAAACCTAAATGAGCCTTTGCCAGCTTTCTGACCAGAAATATCTTTCTGAAGGACCTGGGAACCATCTCTCTGGAATGTAGACATACAAGGAAAATAACACCCCTCTCTCCCAGTTCCTGCAGGGGGACGGGAGCCCGACTTCTATGCGTGCCATCTCCTGCCATAGAGATGGGAGAAGTTTGTTTTCCTTTGCATAAGACAAATTAACAAACACAGAGGGCCACCCCAGTGGACAGGTGGGTTAGGGTGACCCACGTGTAATAAACAGTGCTGTCGAGTCCTCTTATTTGAAGACGAGTTACTGTTTATCCTGAGGATGCGTGCGGAATGGGCTCTATCTACTCGCTAATAAGGGGGTGAGATTTCTCTCTGTCTTTGCAGATCTCTTAGGGGATTGCCTGTGATGCGCATCCCATTCTGGAGTGATGCTTGCTCGATAATAAAATTGTATTCTTTCTCTTTTACCTTTGTGGGGAGAGTTTCTGGGCTGGGAGGAGATTTTTGGCTTTACTCCTATTTCCCCAACAGTGGCCAGTGTGCTGGGGTGGCCAGAGGGCTTGCAATGGACACGGAGCGGTCAGAGCAGCTGGGCCGGGTCAGCCAAGAGGAGGGAAGCGGTAGTGGAGCAACTCAGACCTCAGGCGCCGGGCCAGACGGCCTGGGTTCGTACCCTGACTCTATCGCTGCTCAGATGGGATCCTGGACAAATTCCCTAACTGCTCACGAGGGGAGCCGTCGAGGAATAAACGCGTTGATCTACACAGAGCACTCCGCCCGCCACGTGACAAACGCAGCGTGCTGGCTCTTTGCTGGTGGGCAGAGGCAATGTCATGAGGTTCCCAGACCTGCCGCATGGGCTGTGTCCAACTCTGCCGCTTACTTGCCGCAGCATCAGGCAGTTAACTCAGCCCCTTGCAAAATGAGACTGACAGCAGCCCCTCCCTGCTGTGTGGGGTCACTGAGCTCACAAACTCCTGCACAGTGAGCCTCGGGGGACGTTAGCTGTGAGGAGTATCCTGGAGCAGGAGTGACTGACAGCTGCATGCGGCAGAGCGACCAACTGGAAAATCACTGTGCAGCCTGCGAGGAGGAAGCAGATGCTGTAGCCCCTTCTTAGGGGAGCACCCCCGAGGGAAGGCGCATCCTTCCTCCTCCCCCAGGACAGGAAAGTCCCAGGGCCTCTGCCTGGGGAAGTGTCTTCAGGCTCTTTTTGGACAAGTAATAAGACTTTGAGCTTCACTGGGAACGAACCCTCTGGGTCTGGGGAGATGGAGAGAAGCGTGGCCTGCTCGTGGATTATCAACCAACATCTGTGGGCTTCTCACGGGTGGAGACCTGGGTGGTGGGGACAGATTACCAAGAGGCAGCCGTAAGGATGGGGCCCTGCACCCCTGGCAGACTCAGTGAGGCTCCCAAGATTGAGGGTGGTCCCAGGAAGGACTCAGGCCCTGGCTAAGATCAGGGAGTGGAGTCCGCATTTCAGAGGGAACAGCAGCCCCAGAGAGATGGTGGAGGGAGGCGGGAGGGGGGCCCAGCCATCTGAAGACCACAGCTCCCATCAGGACCAAAGAGCTGGAATCTGGGGGGCATAGTTTGGGGTCTGCAGAAGCTCCCAAGAGTTCTTAGACAACCTCGAGGAGAGGAGCACCCCAAATTGGCTGGTTGGGATCTCACGCCCAATTTGGCTTCTAGCAGGTTCTGGTTAAGTGTGAGAAAATAAACAAAAACAAACATGCCACTGTTTGTCCTGGGAGCGTGAGGTGGGATTCCTGCTGCCCACAGACTGGTTACTGAAGGTGAGAGAAAAGAGCCTGAGACGTCTCAGCCTGCGGGAGGGAGGGTGGAGAAGACAGGAGGCGGGAGTGGCCGATGGAAGGAAAGATAACGAATTCGCTTAGAAAGGTATTGAGCTCAGGTTAAAGGACAGTGTTCAGCTCTCCCAGGTGACCCTGGTCCCCCGAGGAGAGGCAGGGCATGCATGCCCAGGGCACTCGTGGCTCCCCCAGCCAGGGCCTGGCACAGTGCTGGGCGCGGTCAGTAAATCCCGGGCCTTTGGGCGAGCTGCCTCTGGAAGCATCAGCTCAGCGCACACACCCCACCATCTGCATTTCACAAAAGTCCAACTCAGCATGTGCCTCGGAGGGAAACCATCCACGGCCAGCGGGGGACCAAAAGTGAAGCAGGGCCAGCGAGAAAGGCCTTGTAGCCGTAGGGGACCACACGTCCTGGTTTGCTGGGGACTTTCCTCATTTTAAAACTGGAAGTCCCACGTCCCAGGCAAACCAGGATGGCTCACGAAGCTGCCAGAAAGGCAGTGACAGGACAGTCTGAACCCTGGACTTCTCTGCCCAGCTCCTGGCTGGTTGCTGCTGCCGCACAGAGGATGGGGACATCAGGATGAGGAGAAGGAAGCCACACATTTAAGCTGCACCGTGTGGCCCACCCTGCGCCAGGAGCTTGACATGGGCTCTCCCTTCATCCTCCCAGGAGATCTGTGAGGAGCGTGGTGCTGGAGGGTAGACCCAGCCCTTCTCCTCTCTGCATGAGAAGTTGACCTTGGCCTCAGCTGACCTTGGAGCTCTGCTCCCCTGAAACCACACACGGAATGTGGGCTGCGTCACTAAGCAACAACCACAACCACCACCCTGAGGGGTGCACCTCACCTGGGGGCAGAGGGATGTGGGTGAAATCTAGGTATGCACCTGGTGGGCCTCCAGGGCTCAGGCCCCCTGAGTCCAGTGGCTCTTGGCACCAGGCCTGTCCCTGGCAGGGAGCTTGGGAGCAATGCCTGGGAGTGTCCCAAGAAATACTGGCTCCTACAGGGGACTTTGGGCTTCTAAGCCAGAGCAGCTCCCATACCTGCCCGTGTTAGCCTCGTTCCCTCGCACCTGAGCTCTCTCGGAAAATCAATCCTGGTCCCCCATGGGCCATATGGTCTCCTTTGAGGACGATTCCCATGGAGGGGGCAGCGGATGCTGCCTGCTATGTCTCTTGCCAGGATCCTGGAGCCCTGTGTCTAGTTTTGCTCGAAGAAGATCTCCTGTGAGGAGCTGTGTGGGAACTATCACCCCCATCCCACAGACGGAGAAATTAAGACTCAGAGCAGCAAGTCCTTTGCCAGTATCTGCCGCAGGAAAGTGGTCAGGGATGGGTCTGACTTCAAAGCCAACACCATTCCTGCCCCGTTGTCTGATTGGGAGAGCCGAGCAGACAGAAGGAAGAGGACAGGAGGCCATGAGGACCACGCTCCTGCAGGCTCCTGCAGTGGAGAGAAAACGGACACTCAGGGCCGTAGGAATGTCTTCCCAGAGACCCACGCGTGTCTCCCGAACTTCTGCCCACAGATGTTAGCAGAGCAGTGCTTCTCTGCTTCCTCGGCCCAGAGAAACCAGATGTGCTTTTCATTCCCCCTCACTGCGTGGTTCCACAGTCCCATCGCCACCTGGAGTGCTCAGAGGCCTGGCTTTTCAAGCAAAGACATCAGCTTGTTCCCATTTGGTCACCAAATATTGGCAAGTCATGGGGGCTGGTGTAGCAGGTGCTTTGGGTTAAGATTTCAAAAGAGAAGGGTCACTTCTCAGCTGTCCTGGTGTGTGATTGCTTAGAGCCCCCAGTCCCTTGATTTGGTTTGAACATCCCTCCCCATCTGGCTGGGGAGCCCCTTCTGTCCCAATCACAATGTCCTTCTCTTGGATTTGCCTTCTGAGAAATTTCAGCTCCCCTGTCGGGTTTCCTCCCCCACTGACTCCCTCAGTGGCCTGAACATCAGTCATTTTTGTTTTCTCCAAAGGTTCTTCTCACTAGAAATTGCAGGATTGCTCTTGCAGTCCAACACAGACCAGTGGATCTTCTCATCCTTAGGATCAACCCATCCTTGCCTTCCGCCAGTTCTTCCAACACTGACGTACTTGTCCTTTGCTTTGCATTCATCACCTATTTCCCTTGATTTATTCTGATTCCAAATGTCTTCCTTCCAAAGGGAGGACAGTCCTGTGAGCAGATGCTTCTGGAGATGCTCCCACCCCCAACCCTAAAATAACAGCATCAGAAAGTAACTTCCCTTCTCTGGGATTCCCTCCTGGGCTTGATGCTCACCAACTGGTGTCCTGCCCTCCTCAGCTGCCCCACTCCATCCATCTCCTGGGAGGCTTGATTCAGGGGCCGGTCTCCTGCAATCAGGAAGGGCTGCCTCCTTCTCTATGGTTGTAAGAGAGTGGACCTGGGCTCAGACCGCAGTGAAGGAGCCCAGTTCCCCAAGGATGCTCCAGCTCGCAGCATTCCTTCCTCGGCAGCCCCTTGTAAATGACGACCAAGACGCAAGACAGCCCGAGCATGGGTTGTGTCTACCCTCTCGGTCCTCCTTCCACATGGCCTCAGGCATAGTCATGTTCTGAGACTTTCACCGTGTTACACCCAGGAGAATGATGGAGCCAGTGCCTTCGCCCTTTGAGAATCTGAGGTCCCTGGGGTCCGCTTTCCGCAGCGGGCGAGGCTCCAGCCTCCCCAGCCTCTGGCTGCTGGCTGCTGAGTCCAGCTGCACACGGATCTGGAGGGTTTTGCTGACTGGGACTTGACTTTGGGTTCAGATCGTGGGGACATTTACAAGTCACTCTGGCTGAGAGATTGTGGACGCGCAGGGCACAGTTCACGGAGACATATGTACACAGGTCTGCGCCCAGCCGGGCCCTCACTCTGCAGCCAGGGGAGGCACGCGGTGCAAGGACAGGACTCGGCCCGTCCGCAGACAACGCGGCGGCTCCCGTCACTCGGCTTCCGGTAATTGCACTTAGTTTCCTGGTATTCGGGTCTCTGCCCCTCGGGCTCTTGAAGGTGCTACAGTAGGGACTCAGACGTGGCCCCAAGCTTGACAAGATCCCCATCGTCCCTGCAGAACTCCTACAGCTTGGCCCAGCCAGGACCCAGCCAGGGACCCGAGCTGCCGCCAAGTGTATGTGAATTCCGGTTTCAGTCTCTGGGCTTGAATAGCTTGTTTTGCTGTTGAATTTTGGTTTGAGTGGGGTTGGGGTTGCCAAGGGGACTCAGTTTATTCCATAAGCTCTTTTTCTATCCTGTAGAATTAAAAATAAGTTGAAATGACATAAGAACCAAAGGTTAAAATGGTTGGAGAAGCCCCTGGCTTATCTGTCCCCACTGTGTCCTGAACTGCCGGCTGAGCTCACTGAGGGACCCTCCCCGATAGTCCGGGGGAGGAGGAAATAGCACTCGGATCGCCTGTCCTCCGGCCCCCACCCTCACCCCCACCCCTACTCCCAATCTGATGAGACCTGGGGTCCTTCCTTTCTTGCTGCACCAACTCTGAGTGAACCTCGCCCATGTGCCAAGTGCTGGCCTAGGCCCCAGGACACAGAAGATGCAAGACCAAGCCCTGTGTGCAAGGGTCAGGCTCAGAGCATCCCCGAGGACATGGGGAAGGACCAGAGCTCTGCCTGGGGGTCCATGCAGCTAGTGGGCTGCAGGCATCCCCAGAGGTCACAGGATTCCCGGCCCAGGTTGGATTCAGGCACAGATCTCTAGGCTCACGGGGCCCTGGGAGACCCCCTAGCCCCAAGGCAGACCCTCAGAACAGGGAGCGTGGGGAAGGACCTGGATGCCAAAGCAGGAACTCAGGGTAAGAGCTGGGTCCTGGGGACACCCGGGGCCCGGTGATCAGAGTGGGACGAGCTGCCAGGATGACTTCCGTCTGGAGGGCCCTGAGCACAGCACAGGCATCAAAGCCAGGCTTGGGGGTCAAGGTTGGGGGTGGGGCAGGAGCTGGAGGGTCTTCGAATAGGCTTGCTGGGCACTTTGTACACAGTCACAGCCTTGCCCATCAGCTTCCTGCTCCCGCAGGGCCCTGATGCAGGACGCCACTGTGGTCTGGCCCCGTGGTGAATTTACTGGTCCACTGGCAATAGAGAGCACCAGAAATGGAAAGAACCATTGGAAATAAACCGCAAAGCCCCTTTTTAAGGTGAAATGCAACAGGGGGCAACCAGGTCCCCGTCATCCATCCTCGTTCACAGTGAGCTCTCCAATCTTCCCCCCAGGGTGGGACTCGTCAGTGACCCCGACCCAGTGAGCCTGAGCGCCGAGGGAGGGATATACCACAAGGCCACGGTCCCCGGTGCCTCGCCTCTCAGGAATGGGCATCGTCAGAGTCGGGAGGCATTCTCACGGTTAGAAAATCAATTTTGTCAGTGAAAATGAAGGGATACCCACCCGAGTTCTTGGCTCACGGAAGTCATCAAGGCCACAGAATGAATGCTAGTGAGAAAAACAAAAAAAGGAACAAAAACTATAACATAAGACCAAAAGAAAATGAGGAAAAAAAAAAGAAAAGAAAAAAAGATGTAAGATATGTAGTATGGAATTCCATGGCAGCATTTCACAAGAACGGCGCAGTGGCATTAGGCTTGGAGAGAGCGACGGGACGAGGCAGGCTCCAGGGTCGAGTCCACCTGGGAAGCCAAGCCCTGCAACTCCACACCGGGGTGGGTTACCCCAACCTCCTCCCCAAACCTCAGGCTAATTCAGATGGGGGAGCCTGACACCGTGAACCAGGGCTTTCTGACTTTCTTGTGCTGAGATGTGGCTTGCTTGCAGGACTTGGGCAGGATACTTTATATATATATATATTTTCACTTGAGGAAGATTAGCCCTCAGCTAACATCGGTGCCAATCCTCCTCTACTTTGTTTGTGGGACACTGACACAGCATGGCTGATGAGTGGTGTAGGTCTGCGCCCGGGATCCAAACCCCTGAACCCGGGCCACCAAAGTGGAGTGTGCGAACTTAACCACTATGTCATGGGGCCAGCCCCAGGACACTTTATAAACAGAAGAAGGACCCTCCGATGGTCACAGCTGGTGGCTCCCACCAAAGGGCCGGGCGTGACGCTGAGCACAAGGATCCAGCGAGTTTCCACCACAGGACACAGGCCACCCAGTCCTGCCTGCGGGACAGAGCTCGCCCCACACCATCCCTGCCAGGGCCCACTCTTCCGAGAGAGTTACTGTTTTCAACCTTGTGTGCCCTGTGATTTGTCTACTTTCAAAAGAAAAACTAGCAGGGAAAACAAATGGCCTTAAAGAAAGGACAAATTATACAGGTCAGTTTGAAAGTAGACTTTTTCAAATTAACTTATGCACGACTTGCTTGGTTCAGAAAGATGGCTGGTCATTAGGGGAAACATATCTGAATATCATCTGGGGCTTTTGAAGATAATTCCTTCCCCACTCCCAAAATAATCCCCGCCCCCCCCAAAAATAATAGCTCCCCTAAATTATTTGTTGAAAAAATTAAAATCCAAACAGACAGCCACAACTTTTTAAACAAGGTTTAGAATCATGAAAAGTTAGAGATAGAAGGGGCCTTTGGAATCACCTAGCTGTTCATTTTTCACTTGGGGAAATTGAGGCCCGGGGAGGGGGAAGGACTTGCCAGGACCACCCAGTGGGGTGTGGCAGGCAAAGGGCTCCTGACAGTGAGCCCCTGAGGGTGGCGGGAGTTGCTTTCCACCAGCCCAGGCCACAGTGCCCTGGGGAAAGGACGCTGACACGCACGCATCTTGGAGTGCTTCTGGTCTTACAGCCCTAACCAAGACGCCAGCCTTGGCAAGCCCTTTCTGGACAAAAGGAGACAGATCAACCCACGGAGACAGATCAACCCACGGACATTTGTTCTCAAAAAAGGGTAAAAAAGAGGCAGAAAGAGGACTCAAACATTTCCCGGTCATTCCCCCTCCTGCATGTTACTTTATGTGTGTGCCCATCCCACCCGCTCTTTAATTCTAATCACGATGATGAGCATGGCCTGGTTTCAGTTTGGCAGCCCACCGGCCTTGTCTGGGCCTTGAGCTCAGAACTTGACATCCGCAACCTCACTTAATCCTCACAACCTCCCAGGAGATGGGGGTACCATTCCAGGGGCAGAGAACGCCCAGGCAGGGAGCGGGGGTAAACCCCAGGCTCTCGGGACCCCCCAAGGGCACAGCCAGGAGTG